TCCCCCCTCAGCTCCTTCCCCCCTCAGGTCCTTCCCTTTCAGATCCTTCCCCCTCAGATACCTCCATTCTCGGACCCTTCCCACCTTGGACCCCTCTGTCCTCATATCCTTCCTCCTCTCCACCCCCACCCCTGCAATCCTTCCCCGTGGGATTCCTCTGCCCTCAGACCCTCACCCCTGGGATCCTTCCCCGCCCTCCGCAGTCCTTCACCCTCAGAATCTTCCACCTTCAGATGATTCCACCCTCAGTTCCTTCCACCCTAACCTCCACGAGATGCCTCCACGCTATCTGTACTTGAGTGGCGGCAGCTGGGTAGAAGCTCTGTGACTGTGGGTCCCCTGCTCCCGTGGTGCCTACCCACACCTGGAACCCACAGAGGGCCGGCCACTGCAGGGCAGGAAGAGTGGTTACTGCTGGTTCTGGCAGTTACCTGGACATCCTAGTGCTGCTGTCACAAATTACAAGCAGGTGGCTTAGCATAACAAAGTCATTCTTTCACAGCTCTGGAGGCAAGAAGTCCAAAACGAAGGTGTTTGCAGGGCCATGCTCCCTCCGGAGCCTCTAGGGGAGCTTCTTCCTCGCTTCCTCCAGCATCTGGTGGCCAAGGGTTCCAGTCTCTGCTCTGTCTACACACAGCACCCTCCGGGGTCTAATTTCCCTGTTTTATGTGTTTGTTTGTCTGAGGCGTAGTCTTGGTCTGTCGCCCAGGCTGGAGTGCAGTGGCATGATCTTGGCTCACTGCAACCTCCGCCTCTCAGGTTCAAGCTATTCTCTGCCTCAGCCTTCCAAGCAGCTGGGATTACTGGTGCCTGTCCCTACACCCGGCTAATTTTTGTATTTTTAGTAGAGACGGGGTTTCACCATCTTGGCCAGGCTGGTCTTGAACTCCTGACCTCGTGATCCACCCACCTACACCTTCCAAAGTACTGGGGTTACAGGCATGAGCCACCTCGAATGGCCTAATTTCCCTGTTTTATTAAGGATACCAGTTTTGGATCAGGGCCCACCCTGGTTTGGGACAAGTTTGTTTTAGCTCAACTCCATCTGCCAAGAACCTGTTTCCAAGTATGACCCCATCCACAGGCGCTCTCAGATCCTGGGGCCTGGACGTATTTTTCAGGGGACATCAGCCAACTCACAATGTGCCCGTCATTTGTGGGTTGCAACTGTCTTCTCCTAGTCTTGGGTTCTGCTTCCATTTTTTAATTTAATTTAATTGTTTTCCGTGTCCATTTTTTGAAAGCTGTTTTGATAACCAGAAGTTCACAGTTTTAATGAAGTCGTTTTATCAATATTTCCTTTTATGGTTAGTGCCTATTGTCCTAATGAAGAAATTTTTCCCTCCCTGAGACCAGAATAATCTGCTTCATTATCTCTGAGATGCTTTATTGTTTTGCTTTTCCAGCTTAGCTTTATTCACCTGGTGTAGACTTCTCCGTGTAGTGTGAAGTAGGGATCAGGCTCACTGCCTTTGATGTGGACAGTGGTTTATTGAGAGGCAGCCATGCTGCAGATCAGCGTTCGTGTGTGCAGTGTGTCAAGTGGGGCTTTCCAGCATGCAGCAGCCCCACCCCACTCGATTCCTAATGCTGTGCAGCAAGCCAGCCCCCGGCAGATGAGACTCCTCCACTCTCTTCTCCAAGATGCTGTGTGTGTTCCTGCCCCTCGCCCCATGTAGAATGACAGGCGTGGTCGGGCACGCCTGTGGTTCCAGGCACTCGGAAGGCTGAGATGGTAGGATTGCTTAAGCCCAGGAGGCAGAGGCTGCAGTGAGCCAAGGTGGCACCATTGCACTCAGAAGAAGGAAGAGGAGGAGGAGGAGGAGGTTGTCTAGAGCAGCTGCTGGTGGAAGACTCCCTCGGTTTCATGGACAGTCCTGGCTGGGGCTCTCTCGCCTGCAGTGCTGTGGGGTCCAGAGGGGCTGTGGGGGTCAAGAAGGGACAGAAAGCGTCTGGCTGGACTTGCCAGGTTTGCCCAGAGAGGCTGGCCTGACCCCTTACAGCCCGTCCCTGGCTCTGGTGTAAGGAGCATCAGGACCAGCTCAGGGCCCTCTGGCTTCAGAGCCAGATGGCATGGGTGTCCAGGGGACAGCCTGTGGACAGTGACCTGTCTGTCTCTGGACAGGATAAGGACCACTGTCCACCATGGTGAAGCTGGGCTGCAGCTTCTCTGGGAAGCCAGGTAAAGACCCTGGGGACCAGGATGCGGCCGCCATGGACAGTGTGCCTCTGATCAGCCCCTTGGACGTCAGCCAGCTCCAGCCGCCGCTTCCTGAGCAGGTGAGGTCCTGGGCAGCATGGGGGCCCTTCTCAGGCCCCCCTGGAAACAAAGGGGTGTGGGGTGAAGTTTGTCTAGATGTGGCCTCTTCCCAGGTGCAGTAGAGCAAGCAGAGGAAGTTCCATGAGGGCCAAAACCCCAGTTGGCCAGGGGCACTCTGTGACCTCCTGGTCTGCTCCCATGTGCCGGAACGGGGCAAACTGGTGGACACATGACTGGGAAATCACGGAGTGACTCCCAGCCGGCACCCGACCCACTCCGCAGACAAGGCTTCTCACCCTTCCCCTACCTGGGTTGAGCCTGAGACAGGGGTCCTTGGGCAAGTGACCAGTGGGGGTACATAAAGCAGAAACTGGGGAGAAGCAGAGCTCAGCTTGAGCCCAGCCCAGTCTGACCCCCAGGGAGTCATGCAGCATGAAGGGCACCCCAAGTTGTCCCTGCTGGAAGTAGGGCAGCATCTATGCTGGGGACCCGAGGCAGGAGGCCCACCCCTGTTGGCCAAGGGCAGATCTCCAGCACCCTGAGTTGGAGGCAGCAGCAGACTGAAGTGCTCTGTCAGCGGTCGGGCCAGGCCCAGGGCTGCCGTGGCTCCAGCAGACTTTCAGCGTCCACCCTCCCTTGGCCTCACTTTGTGGCTGCTGGAGCCTTGCCGTCCACGGAGACAGCCCTGGCAGACGGTCAGCGTCGACACCACTGCCACAAAGCTGACCCTGGCTCCCTCTCCTCTCAGTTCAGTGCTCTCTTGGTTCCCTGCCAGCTGCCCAGCAAGGCCACGGCCATCTCTTTTCACAGGTGGTCATCAAGACGCAGACAGAATACCAGCTGTCCTCCTCGGACCAGCCGAAGAAGTTCCCTGACCTGGAGGGCCAGAAGCCAAACTGCAGCCACGTAGAGGAAGGGCGCAGGGTAACCACACCCACCCCCCACACTGTGGAGACTCGGGGCAGGGGGAGAAGGTGGAGGGCAGCTGGGGGTGCCTGGGCTCAGGCCAAGCCGGGCTGGGGGCCCCTTGCCCCGGCTCTCAGGGAGGAAAAGGTGGCAGTGAGTCATCCCGCCCAGAGCTGGCCTCCGGCTGCCCTGCACCCATCAGGCCCCCTCTGGAGGCTGCAGGTGCCAACGGAACGCAGAGCTCTCGAGATGTTTCTCTCCCGGGAAGCGCCCACCTGCGTGGCTAGTCTGTTGCCCGGTGGTCATTGCCCATCTTCAGTGACTTAGGGGGTTTCTGTGTAATACTTTCTTTCTGCCGTGTGTCTGGGAAATATCTTCCTCATCCTCTGTTTTAAATCTCTCAACGTTATGATGATAGCTTCAGTCATGTTTAGTGGCCTGCTTCCAAAGCTTGTCATTCCTCAGTAGTAAGGTCTGCCCTAACCCCACCGTGTCTGCTGGAGTTCCCCACCCCGGCTTCACCTTCCAGTGCGGCTCATGTTGCCGCACCCACTGTGGGCAGCACCCTGGGAGGCCTGGTGAGTGCAGCCTCCGACTCACTGGAGGCCACAGCCCCCATCCCCTGTGGAGCCCACACCACAGGGAAGCTGCAAATTCCCGCAGGACCCACCTGGGACAAAGGCCACATCACTTTACATGGTCGAAGATGTTTCCAGAGTCCTGGTGGAGGGGCTGCCCGCAAGGCCTGGCCCCCAGGGGTGGCGCCTGTACACTTGACTGTGCTGCTGACCCTTGGAAAAGTCACTAACTGCCTGGGGTGGGGGTGGGGTATCAAGACCGGGGGTGGTGGTGGTCCTGTGCTAACCCCAGCCCCTACCCAGCGTGGCTGAGCCCCTCCCTGTCCTCCTGCCAGCTGCCCACAGGGCGGATGATTGCCTTCACCATGGCGCTGATGGGCTGCGTGCTGATCCTGTACAAGGCCATCTGGTACGACCAGTTCAGCTGCCCCAACGGCTTCCTGACTCGGGTAAGGGGGCCTGTCTCTGGTGGGGAGTGGTGGAGCCTCCCGTCCTCCGGTGGCCTCCAGTCAGGGAACAGCAGGGCTGCTTCCTGCTGCTGGGGAATGCTGTCTCCAAATCCGTGTTCCTGTTACTTCAGAACATGAGATCCTGTCTTTTGAAAACTTGATTATTTTAATGATGACTTTCTCTAAGCCACCACTAAAGCAAAAGTCACCCTCCAGCCGTCTCTCCAGGGGGTCATCTGTCCCCGAGTGACTTGTGCAAGGTTTTATTTTTATGTAACATATTAATGCTCCTACATATTTTCTTCCTTCCTATTGTTCTCTTTGCCAATGATGGTTTCAGCTTTTAGTGTGTTTCTCGAAAGCCTTTCATTTTTCAGAAGTGAAATCTGCCCCTTTCCCTTAATTCCATGGTTTATGCGCTGGAGCGCTCCGCAGAGGTCTCGCTGGGCTGGGCAGGTCCGCTGGTGTCTGCGCCCCGCTCCCCGGGCGGCCGCCTCCCCTGCAACCAGACAGCGACCCCCTGGCCCCGTGGCCCTCCAAGGCCCCGAGTTCTGAGCCTGTGGCTGACTTCGGTGTCCCGAAACGATAGCTCCATTGGAAACGGTCCGCAGTGCCCCCCGCCTCGGAGGGTCCGGGTCCTGGAGGGCTGAGCCCCGCGGCCCTGACCTGGCCCCTCCCGCAGCACAAGCTGTGCGCGCCGCTGACCCTGGAGATGTACTACGCCGAGATGGACCCGGAGCGCCACCGCAGCGTCCTGGCGGCCATCGGGGCCTACCCGCTCAGCCGCAAGCACGGCACCGAGCCGCCGGCGCCCTGGGGGGACGGCCGCCGCGCCAACAGGGAGGAGCGCAAGGGGCCCACCCAAGCTGGGGCGGCGGCGGCCACCGAAACCCCCGGGAAGCCGTCGGCGGAGGCGGAGAAGGAGGCGGCGCAGAAGGCGGCGGGGAGCGCGGCGCCTCCGCCCGCGCAGTGAGGGTCCCCTGCCCGCAGCCCAGCCCGGGGTAGGTGCGCGCCGCGGGGCTCCGGTCGGCTGGGCCTGGGGCCCTTCCTGGCCTCCCGCCACCGCCTCTGAGCCCGGGACTCCGGCCACCCCTTCCCCCTCCTCCCTCCCGGGGGCCGCCGACCCTGCCCGTGAGCTCCTCTGGGTGGGGATGCGAATCCGAGCCCGCGGGGTCCGCGGGGCGGGTCAACGGGCGCGGGGGCCGCGGGGGTCTCTCAACCCTCGCGCCCTGTCTCCGCAGCGCCCCCCGGCAGCTCCCGTGACCAGCGCGCCGCCCCCGCTCTCCGCGTGTTCGTGTCTCGCCCCAGGCGCCCTCGCTGCAGCCCCGCCCCCTTGGGTCTCTGTCGCTTTTCTCTAAGTAAAGATTTCGCGTCGTCCGCTGCCGTCCTCTGTCTCTCCTGCGCGTCCTTCTCCCACCCCCACCCGGCCAGATGTGAGTGAGGCCGGCACTGTGCTCCCCCGGGGACCCCCGAAGAGACTCCGCGCCTCCCGGAACGAGGAGCGCACAGGCGGAGCGCGCGTTCCCGCGATGGGTGGTCCAGGCCTTGTCTGAGCCCCACCGGATCTGCCTTAATGGCGTGGCTCCGGCCCCCCAGGGGAGTCTGGGGCCCACTCCTACCCGCTGCCCAGGCCCTGTCCTGCGGGTTCCCGCCCCATCTACCTGGTTCTGGGCCTGGGCCTGGGCCCGGCTTGTCCTCCCTGACAGGAGTGCCTGGTTCCTGGCTGATCCCTGGTTCTGGGCGCCCATGAGCTGCTACTGGCCCCTATATGTGTGGCCCACAGGCATAAATGATCCAGTGAAGAAAGAAAGGGGTGAATGGGGGAGTCTGAGTGGGGAGTGGGGCCTAAGGAGGGGTGCGCTGGGCTCCTGCAGGCTGGGGTCACCCGTGTCCCTGGAGCGGGATGAAAGTTGATGAGACTGAAAGGCCAGGGAAGCCTGGAGCTGCCATGAGTCACCCCTGCCCCATCGCCACCCCAGCCCCAGCCCCTCCCGGCACTGAGCCCTGTGGGGAATGATTTCCAGGTAGATCTCACCCACCACCTGCACCAGCGCAGCCAGCTGCAGCTCTACAGCCCTGCCCACACGTGCACCTGTCCTCCATCCCTTTCCGGGAGTTGGGGGCCTTGGGACAAAGGGCTTGGGGTCAGGGGCAGCAGCAGAGCCTAGGTGGCTCACGGGGCCACAGGAAGCAGCTTCAGGCAGGAGGGGCCAGCAGTTCCTGCACTGTGTGGTGGAGGGTGGGGGCCTCACACACAGGTGGGATCCCCTTGGGAAGCCCACCCTGATCCCAGCCTGGAGCCCAGTGACTTGGAGGACAGTCCAGGAAGGCCTCTGCAGCACCAGGGGGGAGGCCCAGAGCCAGTGCCAGAAACAGTGTCCAGGCTCCGTTTGCAAGTGGGACACAGGTTTCCGAAAGGGTCCATTTTCACCCCCATCACCTCTGCCCCCCATTTCAGGGGCTCTGCTGTCAGGCCCCAGGGCTGGAGAGAATGCTGCGAAGGAAACCTGGGTGTGCTGAGTGCTGGGGTCCAGGTTTTCAGTCCCACTCTGGGGCCTTTCCCCTTCCCCTGTACCCCCTCCCTCTTCTACCTCCTGGCTAAAGCTGAAGCCAGACAGCGGCAGCTTTTGTGCACAGGACAGGACCCTGGCTATGAACTGGCCCCACCTTGCCCCACCAGCAGTGATGCCAATGTGGATGCCTACTAGGAAGTAGGGGATGCTGAGGACCCAGGGAAGTGCCATCCCCCAGTGAGCAGGGAAAGACCCCGGCACGGCTGACCTGCTCTGGGCCTATGTCCCCTGTGCTTTCCAAAGGCAGCCACACGGGCCAGGCCACAGTGCAGGCTCCTGCCTAATCTACCCCGAGGCCACTTTGGGGCTTTCCAGGTGGACGCCAGGCAGGTCCAGGCCAGCTGTCTCATCTTTACTAAATTCTTCCTTGGACACTCCAGTGAGTGGCCTGTAGAGGAAGTGCTTTCATGATGCAATTCCTTCAGTCAACTGAGAACACCCTTATTACATCACAAAGGGGCCACCAGTCTCAGTAGAAAGAACTGATTCACACAGCAGGCACCAGGGCCCCTTGCGGTGTGGGCTTCTAAATTTGCATGGAGGAAAACTTTCTAATCACATTTCTCTGGCTGAGCTGGGCGATTAAACAGCCAAAGCTGGATTTTTTTAGAGCAACTTTGGTTTTCGAGAATAAATAATAAATATACAGGCTGGGCATGGTGGCTTATGTCTATAATCCCAGCACTTTGGGTGGCCAAGGAGGGGGGGAATCACTTGGGCCCCAGAGCTCCAGACCAGCTTGGGCAACATAGAGAAACCCATCTCTACAAAACAAAACACACAAAAACAAAAAACTAGCCGAGTGTGGTGATGCAGGCACCTGCGCTCCCAGCTACTTGGGATGCTGAGGTGGGAGGATCACTTGAGCCTGGGAGTTCGACGTTGCAAGGAGCCAAGATGGCACCACTGCCTTCTGGGACAGAGTGAGACCCTGTCTCAAAATAATAATAATAAATATTCAGTATATCTGCCTGTGTTCTAGGGTATTAATAGGCATAAAGTCATTACCGCAAACCAGTGCCGTGATTTATTCCAAAACCGAGCTAGGGGAGAGAAAGGTGAGTACCGGAGAACGTTTTTAAACCAAAAGATCCGTCCAGTTTTGGAACATGAATCCTTTTAAGGGCCAGTCTCTGTAGGGCCCGGCTCCTCCTCCTCCGAGCCTCGGGTGGGCACCCAGTCCCGTCCTCCGGGAGCGTCACAGGCCCCGCCCCCCAGGCCTCTCCCGAGTCGAGGGTCCAACGGGAGGGGCTGACACGGAACCGAACCCCAGCACAGGAGCAGTCGGAGGCCGCGGCTGTGTCCCCAGATTTTCCGCGTGCCCCCTGCCCAGACCCGCGACGCGTCCCGCGAGGCGCAGCCCCTGCCCGGAAGGACTCCGGAGATGCGGGGCCCCGAAAAGTCACCCAGGCACCGGCGGGGCCAGGACCGACGCCCGGACCGCGGTCCCACCAGGCTCCTCGGGGCGGGAGGTCGGGGCCAGCACCGGGCACCGTCGGGACCCGGACCGCGGCGCTTGGGGAGAGGGCGGCGGACGCGGGCGCCGGACACGCGCGGCCAGGGAAACCCAGGGCGCCGGGCATCAGCGGCCGCGGCGATGCCCCTTTTTCTGGGCCCCCAGGGCCGGGGCGCCGCGGAGCGGGGGGGGCAGCTCGCCCCAGGCCGCGGCCTCACTGGGCAGGAGCCCCCGGGGCTGAGTCCGCGGCGACCAGAGGCCACTGGAGGCGGAGCGCGGGCCTGGCTCGGAGGACGGGGCCGGAGGGCACCGTCGCTCGGGACTCAGGGAGTCACCGACCAGCCACGAACACGGCCAGCCCGGGGCAAAGACACAGCCCACGCGCGTCCTCGGAGTGCGGGTCCCGCAGCGGCTCCCCGTCCGGAGCCAGCCCGGCTTCCCTGCGGCCTCTCCGCCCCGCCCGCCCCGCCCGCCCCTGTGAGGGTGCCCTTGCTGCTGGCCGAACAGTGTTTGCTTGTGCGCCAGGCTGAAGTGAACTTGTCGAGATGGAGACTTTCCTGCTGTTCTCTGTCAGAGCCGAGTCAGGACTATTGCCTGAGGAGACCCTCTTACAGGACTGGGGTCACTGAAGCCCACGGGCAGTGGGCACCTCCTTCAGCCACGGTGTCTCCAAGTCAGAGACCGGTGAGGGCTGCAGCCAGCATGGATGGATCCACCCATCACCACCCTCGGGAAGCCGGGGCCTCTGCCGCCCCTCACTGTATGGTCCTGGCACCCAGTCTTTTCCTTCAGCCACCTCGTGCCCTGGGCATCCGGAGACACCACCCGGCCCTCGGGAGTTGTGATCTGGCAGGGAGACTGCCTGACTTTTTGAGGGCATAGGGCCACTTGGTCCAGGGATGAGAGGCGTGGACCGTGGTAACCTCTGATTGGGCCAACATGGAGAGAGCCAGACGGTGACGAACCCCAGACAGTGGCCCACGGCCAAGCCCAGCACCTCCTCTGTCTCAGCCAAAGAGAGCCGTGTTGGGCCCCTGGGTCTGGGTGACTAGAAAGCACATGGGCCCTAACCCTGCCTCAGGATCCTAACATCAGGGTCACATCCCGGGACCCACTGGTGCCCAGGTGTGGATGTACTGGGCTGTCTGGGCCCGCATGCTGGCACACGGTCAGCTCTCAGAGCCTGGCCAGCCACATGTGCCAGTCCTGCCGATGCCCGGTTGTGTGGGGGCTGCGCTCTCGACCCCACCTCAGGTGCTGTGTCTCTCAACCACTAAGAGGGTGGGGCTGGGTCAGTCTTGCTTGCAGTATTTCAGGGGAAGGGACCCTGGTAGATCTTTTTTATATTTTTATGTTTTTCAGACATAGTGCCTAGGCTGGAACACAGTGGTGCCATCACAGCTCACTGCTTGGGCATCCACCTCTTGGGCATAAGCCATCTTCCCACCTCAGGCCCCCAAGTAGCTGGGACGACAGGCATGCACCACCACATCCAGCTGATTTTTGTATTTTTTGTAGAGACGGTGATATGGTTTGGCTCTGTGTCCCCACCCAAATCTCATCTCTAATTATAGTCTCCATAATCCCCAAGTGTCAAGGGAGGGACCTGGTGTGAGGTGATGGGGTCATGGGGGCAGATTGCCCCATGCTGTTCTCATGACAATGAGTGAGTGCTCACAGATCTGATGGTTTTGTAACTGTTTGACGGTTCCTCCTACACATACACTCTCTCTCCTGCAGCCTTGTGAAGAAGGTGCCTGCTTCCCCTTCTGCCATGATTGTAAGTTTCCTGAGGCCTCCCCAGCCATATGGAACTATGAGTCAGTTAAGCCTCTTTATAAATTACTCAGTCTTGGGTATTTCTTTATAGCAGTGTGAAAATGAACCAGTTCAGTAAATTGGTATCAGGAGTGGGACACTCACATAAAGATAACCTGAAACGATTTTGGAACTGGGTGATGGGAACAGGTTGGAACAGTTTGGAGGGCTCAGAAGAAGAGAGGAAGATGTGGGAAAGTTTGGAACTTCATAGATATTTGTTGAATGGTTTTGACCAAAATACTGAGAGTGGTATGTACAATGAAGTCCAGGCTGGGGTGGTTTCAGATAGAAATGAGGACCTTGTGTTTAAAAAGGAAGTTGAGCATACAAGTTTGGAAAATTTGCATTCTGACCATGTGGCAGAAAAGAAAACCCGTTTTCTGGGGATAAATTCAAGCTGGCTGCAAAAATTTGCAGAAATAATGAGGAACCAAATGTTAGTAGCCAAGACAATGAGAAAAATGTCTCCAGGGCATGTCAGAGACCTTCATAGCAGCCCCGCCCATCACAGGCTGGGAGGTCTA